TATATATATATATAAAATATACTGTTGTCTTCTACTCTTTTTTTGCACCAAGTGAGTAGCGCTCAAATCTCGTTGTACACTGTACAAGGACAATAAAGGCTATTCTATTCTATATATATATATATATATATATACATACATACATACATACATACATACATACATACATATACATGATACACAGCATTTGACACACACACCACGTCACTAACTCTCCACCATCTTTCTCTCTCTCGCTTTCTTCTTCAAATCCCCACTCCTGTCTCCCGTGTCTCTCTTCACTGCTCCGTCTGTCCTGTCCCTCTCCTTGCACATTTGATTTAGCACCGAGGACAGGGAGCTCGCCCCAAAGCTGAAAACTGCAGAAAATGCTAACATTCAGCCAAACCCTGGCCTCATCCTGAGAGCAGAGCCCACTGTCACCAATATTCTTAAGGTAGAGCCTGGTCTGAGTTGTACAGGACAGACAAAAGAGTTGTCTTTACAAGTCTGTGAGTTAATGCTTTTTTCCTGTTTAACAGACAGTAGATGCAGACCACTCCAAGTCCCCTGAGGGCCTCCTTGGTGTCCTGGGACACATGTTGTCTGGGAAAAGCCTTGATCTCCTCTTGGCAGCAGCAGCAGCCACTGGGAAACTCAAATCCTTTGCCCGAAAGTTCATTAAGTAAGTAGATGCAGAATTCTGTAATTCTCCTGAGTCATAAAACTGTTATAGTTTATTTTTATGTTAATACGTTTTTTTTAATATTTCTTTTAGGCTTAATGAGTTTCCCAAGCACATTAGTGGAGAAGGATGTAAGTTGAAGAGCTGGAGTGATGTCTTCCAGTCTGGGGATTTTTGTATTTAGTTACATGAATGATCTGTTGATTCTGGATTTGAAACCCTTTTTTTCTTCTCTCAGCAAAGTCCGCCTCGGTCCGAGCCCTGCTCTTTGACATTTCTTTTCTCATGCTCTGCCATGTGGTACAGACATATGGCTCCGAGGTGAGTCTTTTATGTTTTGGCAGTTCATAAATTAGCCTGCTATTACATTTTAGGCCCACTAGATGTCATAAAAGTTTCACATTTTACTACTTTCTTCAACATCTACCCTTGCTGAACATTAGTTTTGCAGTTGGATTCCTCGATATATTTTGGTCACTCTAGTTATTTTGATCTAAACTGACTAATCTAACTTATACACCCACACCCCCTCCAGGTGATCCTGTCAGACCCCAGCCCTTCTGGGGAAACGCCCTTCTTTGAAACATGGCTCCAGACATGTATGCCTGAAGAGGGCAAGACTTTGAATCCAGACCACCCTTGCTTCAGACCTGAGCCTGGAAAGGTGGAGAGCCTGGTCA